GGGCAGAGCTCGACCTCCCCAGCCTGCTGCCCCAGCCTGCCCGAGCTGCCAGGAGCACTGCCAGCTGCCATGCCCATGCTGCTGCTTCCCTCAGCCCCCGGGGAACGCCCTGGGTGGGGTCAGAGAGGAGCCAGAGCAGCCCCAGCCATGGCTCTGCCACCACCAGCACTTGCCTGTACTGCTGCCGGGGGTCCAGCTTCCCTGTGGTTGTCTCCCAGAGCTTGGAGGCCAGCACCCGGACGATGTTGAGGAAGAGGAAGAAGTTCACCTGCCAACAGACCCCCCAGTGTGGTTTTGTTGCCTGCAGGGACCTCGAGTGTGCCTGAGCAGCCCCCCGGGATGAGGACGGGCAGTTTGGGGTGAGCCGCAGGCAGGGACGTGGGGGTGATGCTGTAGTGAGAGTGGGGAGGGGCCCTGGGCCCCTCTGCATCCCATGGACCCTCCCTGGGTGCCAGGTGGCTGGGGACACAACCCCAGGGACCACAAGTGAACGGCTCTGGGTCCCTACTGATCCCCTTTCCCCTGAAAGGATTTGGGGAAATACAACCATGGGATTCTTACCACGATGGCAGCCAAGATGGGGACCTGATAGATCCACTTCATGTTCCCTGCACTGAGGTCCCAGCACCTGGAGAGAACAGTAAAGAAAGACCTTGGAGAAACCTGAAATTGCTGGTAAGGAGAATTGCCAGCTGCTGGCTCCCTGTACCCCCAACCAGCATCCTTGTACCCCCAACCAACATCCCTATACCCCCACCAACATCCCTGTACCCCCCACCTGTCCTCCCACCCTTCACTCCCTTTGTGGAGTTTGTGTAAACCTTGACCCAAGGGCAGCCTTGCTCCAAGCACTTGTAACCATTGTGACATTGCAAATTACTTTTAAATCAGCATTAATGTTCCTGAGGGCTCCTTGGCCACCCCATCCAGAACTCCTGCTGTGCGTTTGGTGGCCTTTCTCCTTTTAAAATGCTGAACTTCAGAACATGCCCTTTAGCATTCACCTTTACACAGCTTATGGGTTAATTTATGGTGTAAACCTCCTTCCACCTTCCTCCCAGCTGCAGAACCAAACCACCATCAGCCTGTATGATGGACAGTTCTATGAACAAGCCTTATACATCTGTTTACTCCTCTTGTTCTTTTTGGAAGTTTTTCATTTTCAGAAGTTCTGGTGCCTGCAGGTTTCTTTGCCAGTGTTTGCAGCCAGGCTTTCCCTCCCCAAAGGAGTGTTGAGGGTGAACCTACGTACTGTGTATCAGCCAGGGAGGCCCTGACGCTGGCCCAGACAGACACAAACACAGCAGGGAGACCTGGAGGGGCAGGAACCAGAGTGAGGAGCGTGGGTGAAGCACCACGTTTGCAGAGCAAACCAGTTCCTGGCAGCTGGTCTGCATCCCACCACCCTTGCCTGGACACTCGGTGCCCCTCAGCGTGGCTGATGCCACAGCTCCCAGCTGGCCCCAGCAACCAGAGCACTGGGTTTGGGCTCATGCTTACCCCAGCCAATGATGATGAGGACCCACAGGTAGTTCTTGTTGGAGAGGAAGGCCATGAAGATCAGGCTGTGCAGGTAGAGACCTTCCACCAGGATCCAGTAGTGGTTGGTGGCCAGGAAATAGAGGAAGAGAGTCACCACCACCTTGCAGCCAACCTGTGGACATATAGTCAGAGAGGTGCCTATGTCAGGCTGTGCCCTGAAGGCAAAACCTGGTGGCTTCTGCTCTCTGGCCAACAAAACCCAGTCCGTGCCCCACGTGTGGGTCATGTTTCTCCTCTTGCAGGGAGTGACATCTCCCCTGGGATATTCCAGCACTGGATGTGGGGCAGGTGCTCTGCTCCTTTCCCCAGGAGAGGTATTTCCCACACCAGGGCACCCCGAGCTCAGACAGGCTGCCAGACCAATGTCCTCTGCTCTCTGCTGTGGCACCAGGGCAGGGAGAAGCTGGGCAGAGCTGTAGGTGGCCCCTCACCCCTTCCCCACAGCATCACCCCTGAGCAGCACCACCCCGACCCGGGAGGGTCCCAAGCACATCCCCCTGCGCCAGGGCCCCTCAACCCCCTTTTCCCCGATCCCTCCTCTGGCCCCAGCACACTTCCCAGGTGGCTCCATTGTCCCGGCGTGGGGCCCATTTCTGCCTTGAAGTCTTCCTCCTGCAGCCTCTCCGCCCCGCTGGCCAGCGCCCCCGAGTAGAGCACCGTGTCCTTCACGAAGATGCTCACGGCCCGGCAGATGAAGGAGGTGAAGAGGTGCAGGTGGATGTAGTTGCGGGTGCAGTGCAGGCGCCTGTGGAGGAGGGGGGACCAGCCCAACTGCCCACCACGCTCAGCACAGGTGGGCTCAGGCAGTGGGGGGGTCCCAGAGGAGGTGAGCCCCAAGGTGTCAGCCTGCCCGTGGGCACAGGAGCCAGATCTGGGGGCAAGTGGGGTGTCCACACCTTCAAGAGCAGGGTGGAGCGGTGGGGAGCTGGTCACCCTGGGCGTGTTTGGGGAAACTGAGGTCTGTGCTGGGGCTGGGGCCTGTTCCCAGGGTCTGTTCCCCCTCAGGGGGTTGTGTGTGCGGGCGATGGGGAGAGGACGGGTCCCCCCAACAGGGGGATGGGGCTTTGGCTTCTCCTTACTTGAAGTAGGAGAGGATGCAGACGGCGACGATGAGGGAGGCGAGGGAGATGGAGTAGCCCACGGTGTACATCAGGTGCAGGCGCTCGAACACCTCCTGGGAGAGAGGGGCTGAGCTCCACGACCCCCAGCTCCACGCCAGGAGCACGGGGGGAGCAGGGCTGGCTGGGGGAGCAGAGGGGGAAGAGCCCCCCGGCTCCTGCAGCTGCCCTGGCCCTGCCACACGCTCCCCCGGTGCCCATCCCGAGCCCTCTTCCCGTGCCCCTGGGGAGCCAGGTCACCTTCTCGCGGCTCCGGCTCTCCGAGGAGAAGAGCAGGGCACACTCCGTGTAGTTGGCCCAGGTCTTGTTGGTGCTGAGAGCCACGGCCCAGGTCCCCTCAGCACTGCAGTACCTGTAGGCGTGGCCTGGGAACACCACAGGTGCTGTGAGGAGGTCCCTGCTCCCCCGGGGGTCGCTGCCAGGGCGAGGTCCCCCTGCCCAGGTACCAGCACTGACCTTTGTGGTTGAAGTCGTAGATGTAGTCGGGGCAGGGCACTGACACCTCCTGGCTGGGGGAGCCCTTTGGCCAGCAGATGATCCCGTCCCACTCGGGAAGGCAGCTGGAGTCTGCCCAAGGAGCAGAGACACGTCTCGGGTCTCCTGACAGGGCCACAGGGTGACTCCAGCTTCCCCGAGGAGAACACACTGCCCGGGGCTGGGCCCTGGCCAGAGAGCAGGGGAGGGAGCCACCGGTGGCCAGGAGGGGACAAGTCCCACCACGTCCCTCTCTCCAGGGCCAAGGCCCCTCACAGCTCATTTTTGGTGTGCCTGGGGCAGTCTGGAAGCGCTGCAGCCAGTGCTGGCTGACCAGGGTGATGGTTTGCTCAGCACCCACTTGTGCCCAGAGCAGCCAGGGTGCCAGGAGCTCCACAGACCCGCAGGAGCCACGTGTCCCTGCCCCCAGCCCGCTCCCATCAGAGGGGACAGCATTTCTCCAGCTCTGCTGGGGCTGGCTGACCCGCAGGCAGGGGAGGGACGGTACCTTTGAGCTTCTCCAGCTGGGCTTTTATGTCTCTCTGACAGTTCTCCTTTGCCTCCACCAGGAGATAGATCTGCTCCTCTTTTGTGAGAACGTCATCAGGGTCCACCTGCCACGACAGAAACCAAAGTGATGACCCCCTCACCTCCACGTGGCGTGGCTCAGGCCAGCAGTGTCGGACGACAGCTCTGCTCAGATCTGTTCTTTGGGCTCATATTTTAGAGATTAATCCTCCCTGGGAGATCTGAGCCCACCCTGGTGATTTCCATGGCCCCAGAGATCTGCACTGCCTGCTCGGTGGAAGCTGGAAGCAAAGCTGCTCTGTCCCAGCAGAACCCTGAAGGTGGATGAAGAGACACCCAAAAACCCTTCCCGACGTGGGGCAGGACCCACATCACTTCTGCTGCCACAAAACACCCTGTTGCCTCCTGCCACCAACCTCTGAATCCACCCAACTAGCCAACTCCAAGTCCAAAATCACCAGAGGCCCAAGGGCCATCATCCCCTGACATGGGAATGATGCTTTGCTGAACCTGGCAGCGTGGGGGTCTCACCCACCAACTCATCCCACCAAGACCCACCCCTGGAGCAAGAAATGGGAGTCAGAGTCACCCACTGAGCCAGGTCTGGCTGGTCAGGGCTCTGGGGACAAGGGGTGCCCAGCACCAGGAGCCTCCCGGCTGCACCACACGTGCAAACATCTTTTGGGACATTTTGGGCTGAGATGCTCACAGGTACCTGGAGCCAGGAGGAGGAAACAGCTTTGGAAAAAGGAGCTGGAATGCCGGGGGGGGAGGGTCGTCCTAGCTCCTGGACCACCCGCAGGTGAGCACGGCCAAACCCTGCCCCAGAGAGGAGATCCTGAAGTCCCACTCATGCAGCCAGCTGGGTGGGTGCAAGGGGAGGGCTGCTGAGGGGTGTAGGGCAGGAGTGAGGGTCCTGGGGTGCCTCAGCAGGGTGGGGGCCCAGCTCTGCCCGCCCCACATCCCTCCAGCCTC